GTACAGTGATAATGTTTTCTCAATATTGTCACGTGGTAGATGTGCGTTACATTTGGCTGTGTTAGAAGCTTTGTATATCCGTAAGTTAGATCCTGAACTTTGCGTACAGAAAGAAAATGTGTTGTCGCTACAATTGTTTGGTGTTACTCCTCGTCGAGGTGGTAACAATGTAACTTAATTTGCTCACTATGTTGTTGTCACTATTATTATTTTCCTTCGAGTTTTGTGTCGTGCTAAACTTGATAATTTTCCACCTTGTCACGAGTGTTGTTATCTAATTATCTTTACGCTATATAAGTTTTAGTCTTTCCAGCTTGAGCCATTCCCTGTATAATCCTTGATGAGAAGGGACCGAAAACGTTCGGATACTTATGACAAGTGCCTTATTATGACTGGATGTGTGTTTGCGTGGATATTTGCGACCCAAAACTTACCTTCGTTTTAAAGTATTATTATTATTATTATTATTATTTGTTTTACATCGGAAGCTAGCTCAACAGTGCAGCTGCACAAATATGAAGAGGCCGGCCGCGGGCCGATGGGACCAAAAAGAAATATAAAAAAAATAAAAAAATAAACAATGTATAATATACATCAGTGCAAATGTTCATACATCAGTGTACATGTTCAAATGTTTAGAAAAAAAGGGGGATGAGTGGTGAACATAAAGAGAAAAGGTGAAAAACGTATGCTGAATGAACCTGGGCAATATTATACATGTAGCTGGTGAGAGACTAAACGTTGCCAACGTTGTCAAACAAAATTGCACGATATCGTTCAAACCAGGGAGTAGTATTTTACTACTCCCTGGTTCAAACCAAACTGGATCATCCAATAAGCGCTTAAAACCACGATCGAACTGAGAGGTAAATAAAGAGGATTTCAAGTCATTAGGTAGAGCATTAAAAAACAGAGCAGCACGAAGCACAAAGGATTTTTGACCGAGTGTTGTTCTGCATTTTAAATAAGGGATATCATGTGTGTCGCGATTACGCGTGCTCCGGGTAGATTGCGGGGCTGGGAATAACGATGTAAATACAGGCAAAGGGCAAAGAATATGATTAATGAAAATGAACTTCCCAGTTGACACCAGAAAATAGTAGTCCAGGGGCTTAACATCAAGGTTTTTCAGAAGACCAGAAATACTGTCCCGGCTCGAAGCCCCACAAGCCGCTCGGATAGCTCTATTGTACACGCTTACTAGACGATTGTGATCCTTCGCAGTAATGAGTGTGACGAAGGAACAGATGCAGTACAGAATGTCAGGAAGAACGACAGACAGGATGTACTGCCATGCGGGTCAGGACTGGCCGGACCAACATTTTGCCCACCGACATGTGTTTACTGCTAGCTTGGTCACGTGTAGCCACCATCATACACAAATTATGACAGGCTAGGGTATGACCAGATCAGACCAAACAAAAACTCCTTCCACCGGTCCTCTGTACAGGCAGTACAATGTACTTGTCATACATGTAGTGGGGAGTACAATGTACTTGTCATACATGTAGTGGTGAAAGAACACGTATCTAATATTGACTGAGTACGAGGTCAATATAGGAAATAAAAGCCGAGTAAAAGACCGAGGCGAAGCCGAGGTCTTTTACGAGGTTTTTTATTTCCTATACTGACCAAGTACGAAGTCAATATTAGATTTATCACGACAAACAGTCCGTATTTCAAATTCCAAAACGATAACCTCATGAATCCCGGTTTTATGATTGCACAACCGTTGCACCACCACCTACTCATGCTGCAGTCATGCAGTGAAAATGCTGCACTAGGCACCGTTCAACTGCGCAACCCCTAAGCAGTCAAATATAAGCAGTCAATATAGCCCTAAGGAGTGAAATATGCAGGAATAGTTGACTGCTTAGGTATGGCAAAAATCTATGCGAGTCAATACTAAGGGAGTGATAATGTATGATAATGCAAGTCAGCATCCGATTGTCGGACGTATTGAGGCACTGCTGGATTCACCACTGTTACTGACCGTGTTACAGTTGGTCAGCCATGGTTTGGTACATGCACGCACGCACACTCATACACGCACACACACGCGCGCGCACACACACACACACACACACACACACACACACACACACACACCAGCACACACACATACACGCACGCACACCGGCACACACACACATACACATGTACACACAAACACAGTGTCACTTGGACGGTAACTGTGTCACCGGGCTGCAGTTGGTCTGGTCGCTATCACCTCACCATTCTTCAAGTACCAACGCTGCGCTAGTATTCTGGCTGCATGACAAATCCAATACTATTATAGCAATAAAAACTGCTTTATGGCAGTTTTCTAAAAAAAGTTTTTGTGTTCTAGTGCATGGACCCCGTCTAAAAAGTAAGAAATTAACGAAATGTGATAGCCGAAAATTAAAATTTCACACAAAACCTCACAATAATCACAACACTTGAAATGCTGCTTTCAACACTAAACTTTTGCTGCACCAACAATTGGCAACATGCATGCATAGGAAAGAGGATCACGAGGAGAAAAGGTCTTCTACGGTACATGTAGCTTTTCATTCTGTGTGTGATTATTGTGAGGTTTTGTGTGAAATTTTAATTTTCGGCTATCACATTTCGTTAATTTCTTACTTTTTAGACGGGGTCCATGCACTAGAACACAATAACTTTTTTTAGAAAACTGCCATAAAGCAGTTTTTATTGCTATAATTTCTTTTGTTTTTTTTAGCTAAGGATATTAATAATTGTGTCACCAATGGAATGCCCTAAATGATGGCCTACATGTAGCGCCTCTACATGTGCATCGTATCAAATAATTAATTCAATACCGTGTTATACGCATTGATGTGCAAGCCTTTTCTTGCAGAAAATGGCACTTGTCTTGCATATTCATGTTCTTCTGTAGGGGAATCATAATTTATGGGTAGTGGCGGTGATACTTTTTTTACACGCAGGTCATTCTGTGGATGTTGCTGTTGCAGAATTTCATGACTGTCATAAAATTGTCTTGTCTTTCAGAAAATTCAGATGTCCACACCCTAAATCACATTTTACTTGAGAATTGTAACCAGGTGTGTGCCGCAGATGTTTTTTTGATTCTGTGTTTATATAATTGTAGTCATAGGTTGTCGTGATAAGGTCATCCTGCATCATATTGTACTGAAATCGTAATCCTGTTGATGTCGATACAACTTTTGGAAGTAGGTCAATGACTTCAAAGTGTTACAAGTCCACGATTGTCTGAAACAACACAGCAAAGTAGTAACAATAAACATGTATTAAAATGTAAACAAATACATTGTTGAGTCCGACACCTCGTTCCAACACCTACACTGATCCTGAGAATATAAGGGGCAAGGATATATGGTTGGAGATACTAAGAGATAAACAAGGCACTCCATAATAATAAAATGTTACACGACTTTGGGGGAGTATGAATGATATCCAGTCAAACCTCTTTAGGACGGATATCAAGGAACCGATGGTATTTGTTCTGTGAGTTTGTCTTAATTAACTCTATAACGAGTGAATACAATTATTTCTCCAATAGACACGAATAGATTTCTTCTACCTCGAAAGATTCTAAGCCAGACCAAACCATTGACTCGTCTTGTATGAAACAAATGAGTCACTGAACCTTTCTTTAGCAACATGACGGCAACTGAAACAACAACAGAGAAAATACGATACATGTACAGCACATTCTTGCAGGTACTACAAACAGATTGCAGATCGTAATTCTTGCTGTGCCGGCACGCAACTTTATTTGGGGCAGTGCAATCTCGCCGCTACTCACAAATCAAACAGCCCAGACTCGAGTAAACAAATCCAATCGTACGAGATTTTCACGAGACGAGACTGCACCCATTGGCTTGTTTCGTACAAGTATGAAGCAAACAAGTCACTGAATGCAGGAACCTCTCCATAATGGAGATTTTCCCTAATATGCGAATTTATTATGCATACTCGGCCAATGCGTCCTTGAACCTTTCCCTCCAGATTGGGAACTGCCAACGATGCTATGCCACTGCAAAATTCAGATTCTAAGGCTATGATCGGAGCACGGAATGCCGGAAGCAATCATGACCAGTGCCTTACTTGTAACGTACCAATGTACAATGAACATGAGTATTTCGACAACACATCTAAGCCTCAGCAGCAACATAAGCCTTACCGTCAAGAAGGTGAACTCGCGTTCTTCGCACACTGTTGGCAAGGGCAAAGAGCTACGAATGGATCTAAATCCGAATAAAATCAGCACACGTTTCCGTAAATGAAAGGGTGAGCATAAGCAAATGAATCGAAGGAAACTGGTCAACTCAGAGATCACCTGTCATTGAGTATTCCGTAAAAGGAGGCCTCGACAGCAGAAAAGCTAAATTTAGAAAAGAGATCCTGTCAGCTTTTCCATTATTTATTGTATTCCACCTAAAATCAGCACACTTTTCGTAAATGAAAGAGTCAACACAAGCAAATGAATCAAAGGGAACTGGTCAACTCACCTATCATTGAGTAATATTCCGTGAAAGAAGGTCTCAGCAGAGCCGAAGCGAAATAAGCCAGGACACGAAATATCCGAAACAGCTTATGCAAGAAGCAGTTCCAAAGAAGGAAGTTCCTCGCGCATGCACATCCGAAAACGGACTGCACTGCAACACAATGTATGCCGTGCACGTGCACAGCACGCGGCTACCACGCGTTGGTAGATCTAATACCGAGCACCTTACGTAGAAATTTACGTAGCCTAAGTGAAATACCGAGCACCTTACGTAGAAACTTACGTAGCATAGCGATGTCGTTTTTTCTGCCATGTGAACACAATAATAGAAAAGCTGACAGGATCGCTTTTCTAAATGTGACATCAATAATAATAAAATATTCGCGGGATCCGCGTTGGCATCGCTTGAATGTTCAGAATCACACAAACTAGCCTTCGCATCCGCAGGCCACCACTATGCCTATTAACCTTAGTGGCGAATGCAGACCTCACAAGTGAGTCATCATCTAGTTAAAAAATCCATCAATTTCGGAAACGTCAATCGAAAATGAAAGCACAGAGAAAGGAGAGAAAGAAAGAGAGAGAGAGAGAGAGAGAGAGAGAGAGAGAGAGAGAGAGAGAGAGAGAGAGAGAGAGAGAGAGAGCTGAGTGAGGGTTTCAACTAAATCATAAAATTAATAGCCGCTTGGTGTTAAACAACACTTGAAGCAAAAATCATTTCATTTCCAATGCCATATTCTCGGTTGATACTTTCATAGAATTCATGCATCAGGACATTGCTGATGATGGACTAGCACACAATATAACTTGAATCAAAATAATATATTAATTTCTAACTAAATCAAAATTGAAATTCCACATGCACAGCGCTGTAAGCACTGGACGGTTCATAGTGGTCTTGGGTATAGCCAGGAGGGTATACGTTTAGCAATGATCAGACTGAGACAGTTGGGACAGTGCCACACGCCAACCTAGCCGCATGAGTCCCGAGTGCTGTGCTGTGCCATGAGTACTTGCACTGTATCTCACATTCAAACAGCTCGACGGCGGCATCATAAGCCGCTTGACTCACATCTCATCGGCCTGTATGCCCGGTTCACTGACACCTGGCAACTTGCTGTATTTCCTCTGCCGTGACTGCTGTCGGTAGTGGACATAGCTGATCATGGAAGGCAAGAGAAAAGACCAAAGCGGCTAGGTGCTGATCTGCCATGATGCAAAGGAACTTGCGACACCAATTGTGCAAAGCAGATCAAATCTTCAAAATTCTATGTCATGAGGTGTCTCTCGGCCCCACTTTGCCATAGCCTTAAACTGCCCTTTCTTAGCCCAGCCTGGCCCGGTTAGCCTGGGCCAGCAACGAAGACACCGCCTCCGTAGCATAGTCACTAAGTGTGAGCTTGCTTATCAGGAAAACTATACGTGATGTGTCTCTCATCGTGCATGGACCACAGTACCACCATGCTGGGTAGTGAACTTTGCCCCGTGGACAAAATGGAGCCAGGTGACCCAACAGCATTACGGACACTAATTCAGTACACACATTGGCCCATGGTACTACTTCAAGTCAGTGTAGTCTATGATGGCGGAAATTTTCACAGGCCAGTATTGTAACGTTAAAAGGTGTCACTGTAGGCTACCCTGCATGCTATGCGGAGAAAGCAGGTGACGTTGCCAGCCACTTTGAACCAGCACATCCATAACATGTCAAACAAGCAGCGGCAGCAACCGTACTCTGTATAGGTGTGAGGTGTACAGTTTCAAGTCTTGTGGTGTATAGTGGCCAGAACAGAACAGTGCGGCAGCATGATCTCACCAGAGTACAAAGGGACACGGTATGAGCAGTGAGGCCGTCACAAAGTACATGTAGCCGGCTGGCTGCTTGACCAGCGGCAGCGACGCGTAGCTAGAGAACTTCTCAAAGCAGTTGTTGTACAGAACCGACCCTAGTGCTGACGAGAGGGCCTCCAGCCCAGCTACCACAGAGAATAGTGTACCTAAAAGCGACAACAACAACAACAAAACCAAGTAGAATGCCACTGATGAAAGAGAACGGACTCTAGGGTAACACGGTTCGAGTTGTCTATCGAGACAAGCTTGCTTGACTTGCTTGTTTACGAAGTGAAAGCATTCATGGTAGTGCAATCGGCCGGTAATCGAGATGTCCTAGGTTCGATCTCTAGATATCAAAATTACGCAATCATAGTGACAACCGCAAATGTAAATTAATGGGATGAGGAAGAAAACGTCCTCAGATTTCTGTTCATCAAACACCTTCACTTCAGCATGTAGTGGCATGTTTATCACGAGAGCAGAAGAAGGGAACACAGTGAGAAGGAAGCAAGCCACGGCATGGAACAAGCACACCAGCATATGCTACTAACAATTTTTGTAGTTTCGACGCAGGAACCGTTAAATAGCAACAAAAAAGCCTGCACTCTCCTGGTCTGTCAGCCTGTGTGTTGCCTCGCAGTACAGTAAAATTGAGCATTGGTGCAAACAATACACCGTCATATTGATATGCAGTACTGTCGCCAGGAGGCAGTACACACATACACAGATACAGTATACATGTGGAATCCTGATATTTCGAATATGGCTTAATTCGAACATACCGCTTAATTAGAAGTTTTTCCAGGACCGATTTCCAGCAATACGATTCCCACATAAACAATTTCTGATAATTCGAACCTCGAACTGGATATGTCCAGTTAATTAGAAGTTCCACGGATTCCACTTACATAGAAAATGTGTGGGATTTGTGCTGATAATTCGAAGTTAACCAAGTGTAATTCGAAGTTCACTGTACACTGTACTGGTCAGTTCAGTTTGCATGAGCAGGCTGTGCCTGTCAGTTCAGTATCCGTGAAATCTGTGTCTAAGGTCCATAGTGCACCTCTGCGTGACCATGAGAGCATTTTGACATACATATTGTGTTGTGGGTGCATGTTTGGATAATTAGAATGTCCGGATAATTAGAAGTTTTTTTCTGGCATTTTGAGGTTCGAATTATCAGGATTCCACCTGTATTATACGTGACACACATACACCGCCACATACACCGTCACATGCGCGCACATGCCAACACACACACACACACACACACACACACACACACACACACACACACACACACACACACATACACACACACACACACACACACACACACACATACACACAGTGATTGATATAATAACAGCCACTACATGTCACACCTTGATAGGCAGCATCCACCATCTTGGACATCATAGAGCGGCATACGGCCGCTACGACAACCATCGGCATGGAAACCACACATACTGGGACAAGATCATGGAAGACAGAATGAAAACAAACTTCAAGTTTTCCTTCTTACCGTCTGTGAAATTATGAAGACAACGGCATCAGTATAACTGGAATATCATGTTCACATTACTAGTAATTTTATCAATACTTGTGCATTGTACGGTTCCACTGAAGAATAGTAGTACCGTAAAATTCCGTTAATAAGCCCCGGGCGTATACTTTGCAGAGCGTCAAAAACCGGGCGTATATTTGGGAAATGGGCTTATTTTAGGGCATGGGCGTTATTTCGGACGCAATCTGCAGAAGATCAATCTATCAGCAACCCACTACAATAGTTTCAGTGAACCACCATTCCTACTGAGCGCGGTACAGGTACATCAAACCACAGCTGGAAATTTGGTCGTACCCAAGAATGTAGCGATAAATTACATATTTGATAGGTAAACCACTTGCTATGGTACATGGTAAGTACAAGGCACAACACTTTACCCCCTGGGCTTATTTCGGGCATGGGCGCTAAAACGGACTTGAAGTGTACACCGCCTAAAACTGGGCTTATTATCGGACATGGGCGTTATTTAGGGTGGGCTTATTTACGGAATTTTACGGTAGTGTTAGGGTGGAATTGTCATACAAGAAGCTGGAGATTCAGCTGCAACTCGCTAGTGTTGACTCCCACTTACGTAAGCCCTAGTTTTCCATGAATAATGATTGTAATATCTAGGTGTACTAGGATTCCTAGCCTAGGATAGGCACATGGTGACAGCAGGAATTTTGATATCCACCACCGTGGCCATACGTCTGTTGCCAGCAGTGATCTTCCTACTCACCGATGAACAAGAAGACAACGTCAGTTGCCACCGCAGAAAGGACTTTGCTGGCAGCAAAGAAAATAATGCCCGTCACAGCGAGTGTCCGATCCGAAATACCAATTCTTCTCGCAAGCGGTGCCAGGATAAAGCCGTACATGGCAAAGAGACTTGACCTGCAAACCGTGGAACAGGATAGGGGACCACAAATAACGTAATAACATCATACACAGTTCAATCTTCTTCAGAGCCGCTCCAGCTTTATTGGCATCAGTCGATTAATCAAGGTTGTTTCACGTCACTAGAAAACAGATTGTGCTGTAGCGCAAGGCGAGCATTTAAAAGAGTGCAGCACGGTTCTGGACAGGACACGTTACCAAAAGCATGTGGTAACCAGGCCTGGAGTACCGCAATACTGCAGACCACTAGCCTTGCAGGGCTCACTGTAACCATGCAAGAGTACGTAGTTGCCAACAGTGTGTACTGGTATCTCTCGGTGTTACTTATCAAGTTATCAGCATAATTATACCGCATGGAAAACCTCCGACTGTCTCACATATCACCACTCACTCACTTCGCAATGATCACGTATCCCAGATTTCTCTCGCTTAGGCAGAATGGCTTCAGTCTCATGAAGAGGAAATCAGCGGTGCTGGATCCCAGCATCACAACCATCAGCACACAGAACGTGAGCAGCAATAGCCACAGGCTGAGCCGGTGCTCCGACGGGCTAAGATACACGTGCTGGATGCGGCCAAGGTGTTTACGGATACGTACAGACATGCTCTCTGTGCAACACACAGGAAAAGGCCACAGATTGTGCAGTCATTTGCACTGCCACAGGGTGTCCCTCTTCTGCACGTCATACACCCTATCAGCATCGTACAGCGCCGCAGCTTGGGAGAACCGAATTTGGCTAATCTGAACAGGGTGAGTGCTGGCCAAGCATGGCGAGGAAGAGACAGCTGGAAAGTGAATCAAGGGGTAACAAGGGTCTTTAAGAGGTGGAGAGAGTTAAAAAATCCTTAGCTTACCAGGAAAGTTTCACCTATGCCGAGTATGTAATGAAGAGAGGGGGGAGAAGGTTCGAGTTGCTCTCGGAAAGAACAAGAAAGCGGTGAGTTTCCCGTGCTCGGAGTAGAGGACAAACTGAATCACTGGAGGTATTGCAACTTATGGTATGGTATGCTATGGTATTGTGTGGCATGGTGTTGTTGTAAGTAGAATTCATGATATCGCATGATATCGCAGGGTATTGTCTACTTGGTAGCTCAACAGAATGCTGTGTACCGAAGTACTACTGAAAGAGAATTGAATCGGAAAAAAGGAGGTGGAACACGCGCAAATCAAGCACAGGGGAATGGATTCGAAGGACCAAACGTGCACTACATCTTGTCCGCAATGGCGCCGTGTATGATTGTATAAGGAGGGAACACAGCCTGTTAGGCAAGCACAGTGGCATGAAGGGGCCATGGGTGTCTGTGATCCCCGGTAGCCTAATCGGCAGTACACTCATGGTCACAGGACAACAGGGGTACTAGGTTTGAATCCCGCCAGTGGGGCCTTATTTTACAAACTGCCGATGATCACATAACATGTAGACAATGGGAGTGTGCAGGGTTGGTGCAGAATGAACCTACTTTTCTGTTGTTGCATTTAAATGGTGAAAATAGTCCTGTTGGACTGAGTGTTGGTAGGTCTACCATGCGGCATACTGAAACATCATAGCCCTTTGCCATCACCGTGTTCAAGTTTGCTACGATGTTCCCTTGCAGATACCCTCCACAAGTCAACGTTCGCCCCAGTCATACGTGTTCCATGAATGCAAAAAGCCACAGTGAGGAGGCTGTGTATGGACTGTACATGAATGCAAAAAAGCCACAGTGAGGAGGCTGTGTGCGGACTGTACAAAAAGCCACAGTGAGGAGGCTGTGTGCGGACTGTACAAAAAGCCACAGTGAGGAGGCTGTGTACGGACTGTACAAAAGCCACAGTGAGGAGGCTGTGTACGGACTGTACATGTAATAGCTATTATGAACTTGCACTTCCAAAATTAATCCCTTACCAAATTTCCCATTACTTGCTGCTGCCTTTCCCAGGTAGTCCCCGTCTTGCAGGAAGAACACGACGTACACAATTTGCAGCAGCATCATTGCGGCAGCAACTGACAGCCCAACGTAGGGATTAAAGTGTTGTGTCAGATTGGACCCGATAGCATACCCGGCTGCACTAGCCAGAAACACTACTCCTTCCACGATCGTTAAGCGAGCTGTGCGCTGCAGCCACCAAGGAAAAAAATGGAAAGGAGACATTTGTGTTGAAGTCAATGAAAGGCTGGGCACCGTTTTGCGGGCACACCCGCATCATTGTGAATGGTGGTGGTGGGGGGGGGGGGGGGGAGGTTGCACGGAATTTATTGCATACTTCTGACAACCAAACGACACGAGTAGGGTCTGGCTAGACCCTGGTGCAGAAATTAGTGAATAGCTCAGCACAATCACAGACTGGCTTTAATTAACTATCATCTTATGCATACACTACAACTGACCTGCTCCCGTGTGGTCACGTCACTGATGTACGCAAAGGACATACCAATTGCAGCAGCCTGGCCACCCACCAGTCCCTGGAACAGGCTGCTTAGTATTAGGCAGTAGAAGGGTAGCTCATACACATGGAAAAGCAGCATGCCCATGTAGGAGATGAAATTGCCAAGTGTTCCCAGTATGATTATGGGACGCCGTCCGGAAACATCGGACCAGGGACCTGGATTGGAAAAAGAATTAAAAGATGGAGTACACACAAACACACACACTCATACTCCTACTCCTGCCCATCGCTGACGCAATGATAGTGAACAAGCTATGTTAGACATACTGCAGCAACTTGTGCTGGGATTACACCATTCAACAGCTTGCAAGGCTGCTGAATTGACCGCCACTAATTGTAGCCTGGTCTACACCACACAGCCGGTTGAAGTGGCTTTTTCTGGCCAGTGAATCCCTAGGGTTTTCATATTAATTTTCATTTTTCATTCATTTTTCATTCACTTTCTTATTTGTTACACACACCACACCACATACTCCGGCATGCACTGGCTGTTGGTAACCACCCAGGAGAAAGAAAGGAGAGTAAGGAGAATGAGAAAGAGAAGAAATATGTGTGCGACCATAATCGTCGGGAATTGAACCCGCAACCTCTCAATTGGAGATCGACTGCACATACCACTGCACCATATGGGACACATGCATACACCAACAACGACGAGGACGAGGATGACAACGACAACAACGACAACGACAACAACAACAACAACAACAACAACAACAACAACAACAACAACAACAACAACAACAACAACAACAACAACAACAACAACAACAACAACAACAACAACAACAACAACAACAACAACAACAACAACAACACATACTAGTAGGTTGGAAAGAGGAGGAGTGCTACATTTTCTGGCACATAAAGTGCACAGAGTTCCCCTCCAGATAAAAAATGGAATGGAATCAATCATTGTTGTTAAACAATTAAACGTAATCCGATGATAAGAGAGAGGGAGAGAAAGAGGGAGAGGGAGAGAGATAGAGAGAGAGAAAAAGAGCGAGAGAGCCCGAGAGAGAGAGAGAGAGAGAGAGAGAGAGAGAGAGAGAGAGAGAGAGAGAGAGAGAGAGGGAGAGAAAGAGGGAGAGGGAGAGAGATAGAGAGAGAGAAAAAGAGCGAGAGAGCCCGAGAGAGAGAGAGAGAGAGAGAGAGAGAGAGAGAGAGAGAGAGAGAGAGAGAGAGAGAGAGAGAGAGAGAGAGAGAGAGAGAGAGAGAGAGAGAGTCCACCTTGGATAGGCCTGAACCATGTAATGCTCACCAAATACCACAGCAGTCAAAGGAACTGCTGGCAGCAGACTCAGCAGTGTTGTATACCACGTCCAGGCTGACACTTTTGCCTCAATCTGTGTGGCAAGGTCTTCATCAGAACCTATAGATCAGGGCACGGGAAAGCAGTACATACATGTACACAAGTCATATACGTACCCATTGACTTCGATGTTTTAAACCCCATTTAAAAAAAAGAAGAAGCTATGCCGTATGCTAAACTCATTGCAAACGGTTTGGCCGGTCACTCTGACTGTCTGAGCTCTGCTGTTGAGGAATATCAAGGTCGAAAAAGACTCGAAACCAGGAAGTAGTATTTTACCAGTCCTTGGTCGAACCAGCTAGCTGTCCGAAGGTTGAATATACCTGTTGGCTATAGCTTAGGGTCCACGTGCACTATCTGAAGAAATTGTTCAAACCACCAAGCCGAATCTATCGCATTACAAACACTATTAAAACAGAGTACAATTATAATAGTGTACAAACACTATTATAATTATTTTAAGTTGCTGCCACATGCAGGCACAAACGGCCAACGTTCATCTGCTTAATCTCTCAGCTAGGTTGCCGCCAATGTCCAGCACAGGGTACATCCTCTGCCGTCTGGTGTAGCAACACTCTTGGGTCTATACCAAGTACATATACCCATGAGAGGCTACAGCAGCAGCAGCAGCAGCAGCAGGCATGCTACCTACCTCTACACGCATGAAGTCAGCCAGTCAATGAATAGTACTTACCAGTGCTGGTGTTAGACGTGTTGTAATCACACGGACTAGTCGCAGCATTACCACCAGTGTAATTGTAGATCTTGTTGAACCTGGCACACCAGTGCAACAGTCAATCATCCGGAGAGCAGCTTGCATCAGACTATGTGTTGCATAATGCGACAGTGTAATAGAAACTCACGGTGGGGCTGCAGAGTTTCGCCACACTTGCCCCCCCCCCTGACTCCATGAATACTCGTACACATGAGTGTATGCACATTTCGATTGAGAATGAAGGAGGAACGGACCGTCTCAGCTTCCTCGGACCAAGACCATTTGACTCGGCACCCCGACGACTACAACTGGTGAAGATTTGGCTAGGGTACCGAGGTATACTCCCCCCCCCCCCTTAAGGGAGGGGGGGGGGGCTTGTCTGACTGGATTGTGGAGTTTTGTACACATGTAGCTTACCTCTCAACAAGCACTATGGGCGAGGTCAGCACCCCTATCGCGACTACTGCCTTGTTTATGATCAGAACGACCTCCACCAAACGAACACAACCGACCGGTAGCCTCATCGCGAAAGTTCCTACTACCACTACCAGGTACAGTAGTATTTGACTTTCCTTTAATTGTAGGTAGCAAATCCTAGTAGCAAATCCTAGTACTAGCAGCACCACACTGCACACAGCCACTACAGCCACTTTTACTACAGCACTAGTCATACACTCATGTTTGCTCTAGATCCCGCCGCCTAGGGCTAGGGTTTGGGCGGGCAAACTAGCCAAAATAGCTTCGTACTGAACCCCTCTCATAATAATTATCACAAGTCTCGCCTTCACCAGCGCTATCGCCCTTTGCAGGCAAGCACATGAACAAAGCAGTTTGGCTGCATTCTTCGTAAACAAATGAAAGGTCCTCCAGTTTTGTTCATCACGCATTCTGAGGGCATATCACATGCGACGACAGGCAGTCGCTAGTCGAGAAGATCGCTGCCATAGAATCTACGAGAGCTAGAAAAAAAAGTAAAGGACATACATGTAGCCTTGTACTGTTGTAGGTGGATCAGATCATGTCAAGGTGGACTGGGTCGTGGATGGGGCGAGGGTTAGGCACGGGTCCGGGATCGGCAGTGACATGTCGACGGGATCGGGACAGGCGCTGTACGATCTACTCACGTCAGTCTCAGCTGACTGTCATCATGGTCATTATCTGATTATCATGATTATGACTTTTAAGTTTTAGTCCGACACTAGAGAGGTTTAGCACAACGAAATTCGTCTGAATTTTCGTTAGATTTTGAAGCCCGGGGACGAGTAACGAAACTTGCCACGAACTTCGGGACACACACTCGCGGAAAACATCAATCCAACGAAGTTTGGTCTGTCGACTTTTCGTACCGCGATCACATGAGAATTTTTCCTTTCCTTTCGACATTTTTTTCTGAGGTTCTTGTTTTCACGACCAGAATGTCTGCGCCGAACTCAAATCCTGCAGTCTCTGCAGCTGCTGTTACCTCTGGTGATCAGGAGGGACGACGACTTACGTGGGATACGCAGATGGATCTCATGATGCTCCGCCTTGTGAGGTCGATGCCGTTTCTTGCGGAAATCACGCACGAATGGAGAAGCAGCTCTGCTGCTTTCCCAGAGCGATGAGAGATTTGCTGGGCTGAAAAAGAAAGGGCTTGTGGATCGGTTTCATCTCCTACTCAAGAAGCATTCGAGTGGTGAGGCCACCAGTTTACGATAGTCGGGGAGTGACGAGGATTACTATTAATTTAAATTTTTTGTATTTCGCGGGGATTTCAGCGACATCCACGGTATCCACTAGCGACACCGAAGTTCGTGGAGAACGTTCTGCTAAACAAAAATTCAGCGAATTTCGGTCGGCTTTTTCGTACTGCGGCATAACGAAAATGAACAACGAATTTCGTTGTGCTAAACCTCTCTACTATGTGCCACGCACGGTACATGTCTGGAATCACACGTGACTTGTGAAATCGAATGACATGACCCCTTTTATTTTAGCTTTCGCGACATTCATTTTCGCGACAGCGGCATTATTTATTTTATTTTTTTAGGAATGAACTCCGATCCTATCGATCTAATCCTTGAGCTCTTGTCTTGACGCCACATGCACAATGACGGGCGTATATTTTGTGAAGCATCAACACAAAACGAATCGTCGGATATACAATCATGTAGTAATGATCACTATGTACAGAGTAGGATCACTGCAAGTAGTAGTACTAGTAGTAGTAGTGTGTTAGTTCACAGGATGCAGCCAAAATTGCGCTCGAGTCCTCCTAGATCCTCACGTTGCAACGTGAGATTTCAACGCCACAGCTACAGTACATGTATACAGCAGGGCCTAGAGCAGGGGGCCAACTCACGGTGAAATGGAAAGCGATTCAATGCGACATGTCGACAGAGCCAGAGGCAGAGGAGGCCATAGTCGACTAGACTAGACTAGAGCCTGGGCCAACTCACGGTGAAAGAAATAGCGATTCAGCGCGCCTACCAGGGAGTCGTATACAGTATACCGGTTTAGAGAACTAACGTGTTACTTTAGTCCCCTGGCACCTAACCTGTAGTACTGTAAATAGTAGTTATGTGGCAATGTTGGCATAATACCCACTACAACTTTTAAAAGTTACAAGTTACTTAAAAAAAGTAGTTAATACTTGTACAAGTACAAGTCAGAAGCTGCAAGTATAATAGTTACATGACTTGTATGAATAGTTACATGACTTGTATGAATTATAGTTTATACATACATGTAACTCATGTAACTCATAAGCAGGCGAGAGCCGCGGTAGCAGGAACATGTAGCAAACTACATTGTGCTTGCAACAATTCCAGTAGGCTAATTACTTGAGAGTAAACGTAACACAAACAACAGGTCAAGTGAAGAACAGGAGCCAAAAAGAAGCGTGAAACGAGTAAGACAAGTATCATCACCTCATCATCAGTTCATGCTTTGAAACTCATGTCTGTCAATGACTGTAGTGTATGGAGAACATGTCAGTGGCATTGATGACTGCCAGGGGTACGGAGCTCCGGAGATCTACATGACTGAGTCTGTACTATGACCACGAGTCAACAATAGTCATTCATTGACAACCATCAAGAATCAGCCGTAAGAACAGTACTTAGTCGTAATGAATCATTACAAGACGAGGTCGAAAGGACACCCTGCTGCCTGCCGCGCACGAGCTAGTACTACATAGGGTAGGAGGATCTCGTCAACCGCACAAGCGACCTCTACACCCCATGGCCACTCCACTCCAGCACAGCAGTCACTGCGGTCTTTTTTAGGCCTTCCGTCCGTAGATCTACTGAGTCTGTGTACATGGTGTAGGCATGGTATTGGTAGGTCGACTACACGGAGTTACCAAGCTCTTCAGTTGTCCAGGACCTGGTGCTGCCACACAGACTATGCATGACACTCAGCCTCTCGGTCGGATTTCTTGTAGTCAGTTCTCGTACTTACAGACCGTTCCCAGTTTCCGGGGACATGTAAATGCTGTCAGTGTCACTTGCCAGAAAGAAAAGCCGCTAAATAAAGTAAAGGAGCTCGAGTGACGCAAATTTCAAGGCAAGCTTACATGTTACACCTGTCAAGCCGAGTTGTTTTCTGCCACCATCTCGACCTACAATACCGTGGCGAGATGACATCCACGAAATAACTTTGCCTTTGGGGGCTTGAATCGCGGATTGCTCCTGCGGTGGGAACGACTCACCCATGCTCACGTACTCGAAACAACCCGATGATGCAAGCGGATATGCAATTCCTGAATGAGATCTAAGTTACGTTTAGTGGTTGCTTTCAAGCATCTGTAGCAATACTGCGACCCTTTTCAGCTTTGGACTGTTCTACTAGTGCACCGTTTCTTTCTGTCGGACTGTGAATGAATTAAACGTTTCCCGAGACTGCAGCAGTGCAGGGCACACGCCTAGCCTGCGTTGATCCTTCAACACCACTGAGGTTACAGCGTGTTAGTTGTACACCTTTCTATCCGGTGGTGGCCGCCGCGAGTCTACCAAGCAAGCTACAGCTTAGCCGTAGCTGCTGCTATGTGCAAATTCTGGCCGTGAGGTGATTTTCCATTTCGAGAAGTTGCTGGAGAAACTGAACAGATTCTTTACATAGGGTCAACATCAGACTTGATTCTTCCCACTCCACTAAGCAGCGTTTTCAAGCATACTGATTCTGAGTTACAGCACCTCCTTGGAGAAGACAGACAATGGGTCAATACAGGATTCCGCAGGTAGCGCTAGAGCCATGGCAGGAGTTGGACACCACCACCGCCACCGCCCCTGCTGCTGTGTCCCTGACTGGAAAAGAAGAGGCGAGGTGTTCAGCACGACCCCAACGTGCCGTGCGTGTGCACGGTGGTGGACACAGTCCAGGCGTGCGTGGATTTGCATTAGGCCTGAAGCGAATGACAAGCCCTGCAATGATCTTCTTCTTGATCGCACTCAGTGTGATGACGGCAATGGAGGCTCATGCACAGTGTACTATACCTACATGTAAGCTTTGATGTGCATAGGCAGAGGGGGGGGGGGGGGGGGGCTCAGGTACATGTAGACCACTGATGCAGCCCCTGAGTGGCGTGTCCAGGGTCTCACCGAGGGGAGGGCCGGGGGGGGGGGGGGGGGGCTCAGGTACATGTAGACCACTGATGCAGCTCAGTGGCGTGTCCAGGGTCTCACCGAGGGGAGGGGGGGGAGGGGGGGCTCAGGTACATGTAGACCACTGATGCAGCTCAGTGGCGTGTCCAGGGTCTCACCGAGGGGAGGGCCGGGGGGGGGGGGAGGGGGGGGGGGGGGCTCCGGTACATGTAGACCACTGATGCAGCTCAGTGGCGTGTCCAGGGTCTCACCGAGGGGAGGGCTGGGGGGGGGGGGGGAGGGGGGCTCAGGTACATGTAGACCACTGATGCAGCTCAGTGGCGTGTCCAGGGTCTCACCGAGGGGAGGGCCGGGGGGGGGAGGGGGGGGGGGTCAGGTACATGTAGACCACTGATGCAGCTCAGTGGCGTGTCCAGGCCAGGGTCTCACCGAGGGGGGGGGGGGTGTCACGCCCTGGGCTCAATTGTTTTGTGTACGTCTATCTTTTGAGCTGGTATTGTGGTAAGCTATAAAGAGTCGTAAAATACCGGTATTTTACGACTCCCTGATACAAAGCGTGGCCGTAGAAGCACCACTGGTATGGCTGGTATGGTCATGGCTGTACCAATTAAAATTGTTCAATAGATTTGCATGGTAGGATGCAAATATATTGCATGATAGGATGTCCAAAGCTGACTTTCCGTGCTGCATACAACCTATGCTTTCCATCATTTTCTTCGTACAAATAAGTATGTGCATGCATTGCGGGGGAAAACTGACGCCAGCAGATGCCATGCTGCTGGGTTTGATAATGGTTTGCAACAATCATTTGGGAGGTGGGTGATACATCAGAGCGGCAGTCGCTCAACAGTAGTCCTCTTCCTCCTCCACCTTTAGTTCAGTATTGATTTAGTGATTAATTGTGCCATCAAACTGTAGTATTTGAGTGTCTGTGCGTGTGTTTGATATTGTCACTAAAGGTCACATCCTGCAAGTCCGCGATGGTGAATCTCAGCAGCCATGTTCTGCAGCATGCCAATGCCACGGTGCTAACAGCATATGTGAGTACGGAGAAGCTGAGGCAGCCATGAGCGCAGCATTGGAGAGTACCGAGACGACAGGGTGTCCGGCAGAAGTTCACGTTTGTCCTGGTGTTCATGCCGTCTCCAGCGAGATAGAGCTTGTGTTCCGCAGCGCCAGCTCTCGCATTAGCCTCATCGGTGTGAATAGTGGTGCAACGCTGATGGCGGTGAACGCTACACGCATTCTCCACATCAACGCCTCCAGTGCGAGCAACTCTTCCCACATGCACATGTCAGGTCTCACGCTATCACACGGCGACGTGAGAGTAGATGATATGAATGCCCCGGTGACCAGTAACAACGCAGAGCCGAGTGGCAACGCCACCATTGGTGGTGGGTGCATGGCGTTGTCAGGACATGTACACGTTGAGGTTCAGAACACAACGTTCACTGATTGCTCTGTGACGGTGAACAGTGTCGATATTGCGCAGTCCGGTGGCGGGGCCGTCTATATCAGTGGACCTGTGCAGGCTGTGTTCACTGCCTGTCGCTTTCAGAACAACCGCCTGTATTCGAAAGTCATCAACGCGGCTAAGCGTGCCTATCTTAACAGCATCGCGCACGTCCCAGGCAGTGCACTGCATGCGTTTGGTAATGACATCCGGCAGCACCTGCTAGTCCACGACTGTGTATTTGAGCATAACACAGTGCTGATCTCCAACACCAGCTGCAGGGCTGTCTACCAACGGCACGCCGGGGATATCTCGATCGCCGACAAAACATTCGTAATGGCCGCTGCCTTGGCACTGACTGGTAGATCTAAGGTGTTCATCACGGGATCCACTCGATTCAGTAATAACAATGCCGCCATGTGTCCGGTAAGTCACAGTTTCTTCATTTTTAAAAAGCTGTTAACACAGGTACTACATTGTAGTAATGTACGCTATGCCCGAAGCTGTGGCGGTGTGTGAAGAGACTGATCCGTACATTGGTAGTGTTTGTGCTGGAGTGGAAGAGAAAGCACATCCATATGCACTGTTTTAAGAAGTCGACCACACGAATGACGACAACTTGCGAATAGCAACATATTTCTCACGCCCGATCAAGGGCTGTTACTCGGAAGGTTGCCTGTAGCTTGAGTTTATATCTCTACTAGCAGCCACACCCTGATGCACTGAGCATTCACGCATCCTCCAGACCAGGCACATGAGCCTATCCCAGGGAATCCCACACCCGGTACATGTGCATGACTATAATTCCTGGCGTACAGTAGCCACTACACCGCCGTTCCCAGTATCGTTGACCCCCCCCCCCACCCCACCCCACGCTACGTCGCTTCCCAGCTGGTTTTCGGCAGGGACAAGAATCAGATCCAGGCCATCACGTACAAGCACACGGGAGATAAGACTTGCCGTGCTGAATCCAGTGTGCAGTCCGCGCATCCAAAGCAGGAACACCAGCACTGGCGGCATGCATGCATCGCAGGACAGAGCACAGCATGTTCTCTCTGCGCCACTCCGCTGAAGAGCCCTTGCTGGGCAAAACAGCTGCTGTCCGCACGGACGTGAGTTATTATCACGTGTGTGTGTGTGTGTATGTGTGTGTTTGCGTGTCCGTATGTGTGTGTGTGTGTGTATGTGTATGTGTATGTTTGCATGTCTGTGTGTGTGTGTGTGTGTGTGTGTGTGTGTGTGTGTGTGTGTGTGTGTGCGTGTGTGTGTGCGTGTGTGTGTGTGTGTGTATGTGTGTGTGTGTGTGTGTGTGTGTGTGTGTGTGTGTGTGTGTGTGTGTGTGTGTGTGTGTGTGTGTGTGTGTGTGTGTGTGTGTGTGTGTGTGTGTGCATGCATGTGTGTATGTGTGCACATTTGCCGAATGCAGCCAGAGGCATGGCCACTGGATATCAGCATAAACAATCTAAATGATGATCCGTCTTTGGACAATTTCGGTGTTACTGCGCTGCAAGTGTGCATCTCCAATGACACCCTGATTGCCAACATTGCCGTGGTGGAGGGAAAGCTATGGCTCCACTCAGATCAATGCAGTTCAGCTGCCGCGGCGACCCTGTCTGGTCGTACCACACAGCCAACTAGCGTGGCACCCGCAGCGACGAGTCCTCCACATGCCACACGTCAATCCAACCTCACCACCCTGTTCATGCTCGGACGACTGGCTTCCATGAAAGTGCCAGGCGGTTAGTGTGTGCTCAGTGCGGCTTGTGTGCTCAGTGCGGCATGTGTGCTCAGTGCGGCTTGTGTGCTCAGTGCGGCATGTGTGCTCAGTGCGGCTTGTGTGCTCAGTGCGGCATGTGTGCTCAGTGCGGCATGTGTGCTCAGTGCGGCATGTGTGCTCAGTGTGTGCTCAGTGTGTGCTCAGTGCGGCATGTGTGCATTGTGATGATAGCAATCAGTCCAGCGCGCTGTCATGTCATGTCATGGTGCATGTGATATTACTGTGTTCCAGTTTGAACTTGACACAGTGACATAGCCTGCGTGTGATGCTCTGCTCGCTGAACTTGTGTGCGGATCTTTCCTGTTCGTATCCTACCCTTGACAATCATTGCAGAATATAAGATGGGATATAGGATGGGACCAGTTGTACAGCAGGCAGGCATGGTGTGTATAGCGCATAACAGTTGTACAGCAGGCAGGCATGGTGTGTATAGCGCATAACAGTTGTACAGCAGGCAGGCATGGTGTGTATAGCGCATAACCGGCTACAAGTACGTAAGTTACTTTAAACAGCTCAATAGTCTCATACTCATAACTTTAAACTCATAACTTTGCCAGAGCGGAAAGATTGCCATTACACTGTGCCTACAGTGCTGTAGTCCCTGATTGGGAGATCTCTGCGGCATGCGAGCAGTTACAAAGTGAGTTAAACTACTTGTCTGTTAGTGATTAGCGTTGTCACTATGAACCTACAGCGCAGGCTGAGTAGTGCACCGGTCTGCACAGTAGCTGTACCGCAGCCGGCTGCAGTGCACCACTGAGACCAGTTCTCAGGTGCTGACACTTGCCGTAAACGGGGCAGGTCACGGTGCTATGCATGCAAGTTGTCCTGTTTAAGCACCGATTTCTCCGGCACATTCTGCTGTTCTCTGCTGGTTTATGTTGGTTATACCCAGAGCTACACATAAGTCGCCTCTTTATCTGGCTGGGCGGTGAGTTGGGGCTAAGTAAGGTACTGTCCGTCAATGGCTTCACGCTGGCTCTGTCTAACCAGCCCAATATCAACAGCCTAGTGGATGCAGATGGCCGTGCCGCGGGGTTAAGTGCCGGCACGGTCCAGCTCATCACGGACGGTTCTGTAATACTGGGCGGCACCTTCCTTGTTGTCACGCACACGCTGAATGTTGTCAACTACATGTGTGCTGACCTGACGATCACCACACAGTTCCAAGTGATTGGGATCTTCTACCTGACCATGATCAACATGGGACATATCTTTGCTCAGGTATGACTGGCGGCTCGCCAACATCTTTGGAATGGACTTCATTCTCTCATAACTCTTTGTGGCCAGACGTATTCTCCCAGTCATTGCTTTGCTGTAGGAAACTTTGGGGAAGAGACAACTTTAATGGGGAAGTGCATCGATTTTTCAAGTAGGGCTCAGATGAAAGACAATTTGATATCGGTTCGAATGGCATATCTCTCGTTGGTGAGTCGTTGCACAGCACTTCTTTCACATCGTGAATACAATAAGACAATTGAAAATGACCAAATTCTGCAGTGATCAACTTTCTCTCTGGCGGAGCTAAGCCGATCGTACGTCATCACTGCGCTGGTCGCTATGGCAACATATATCATACAATTATAAAACAGAGGCGTTTCAGGCTGTCCAAGAGAGTGCTCAATACCGAGAGGTAGAGCTGGTTCAAACAATAGGAGGACAGAGAAAGTGTTTTTACTCCGAGTTTCACGCACTAAGCGATCATCAGAAAACAGTAATGAGAAATCTGGATCAGTATTGGTTTATATACTCACAAAGCAAAGTGTTAATAGCAGCAGCATGGCGCAAATCTAAAAGTTGTGGATGGCAGCAGTGCAAAGCGTGAATGACTGCATCATGAGGCAAATCTAAAAGTAAAAGTGTGAATGACAGCAGTGGTGAAAGGTGACAACCACTGGAGCCGGTTGTCTCTTACTTAATTAGGTGATGGCTGTGGATGGTTTGAAGTTCCGAAGGCAATACTTGTTCTCGTGGCGACACATTGACACAAGCTCACTCCTTTTGTTGAGAGAGAGGTGCTTGGGTGCTTGCGCGATTGCCAATTTTTCCGCCAGGCACAGGTTGCACCTTTTGCTTTTGTTGCTGTAGGCCGCTGCTCTGCGGTGTACTGCCCATTGAATGCTGCATGCCTTCCCTTCATCCTTCTTGGCCCAGACGTACTGCGATAGGCGGGTGTCCTTCTCGTGTTGTCTATGGCGGAATGAGGATTGGTGGTTATAGTAGCATTGTTTGAATGTTGTTGCTGTTAATTCAGTATACTCCTTCTTCTCCATACCTGCGGTGACTCTTGCCTTATACACGATGCTCTCCATTAGACACGCTCCGTCCAGTGGACATGAGTCTTTCGCCCGACAGTTACAAGCATGCAGAATATGGCCACTATCATCAAACAACACAATAACACGATTCTACGACCAAAGAAACAAGCTAACGGAGGTGACAACGACACGAGGACTTGAAACTGTCGGGCGAAAGACTCATGTCCACTGGACGGAGCGTGTCTAATGGAGAGCATCGCGTATAAGGCAAGAGTCACCGCAGGTATGGAAAAGAAGGAGTATACTGAATTAACAGCAACAACATTCAAACAATGCTACTTTAACCACCAATCCTCATTCCGCCATAGACAACACGAGAAGGACACCCGCCTATCGCAGTACGTCTGGGCCAAGAAGGATGAAGGGAACGCATGCAGCATTCAATGGGCGGTACACCGCAGAGCAGCGGCCTACAGCAACAAAAGCAAAAGGTGCAACCTGTGCCTGGTGGAAAAATTGGCAAACGCGCAAGCACCCAAGCACCTCTCTCTCAACAAAAGGAGTGAGCTTGTGTCAAAGTGTCGCCACGAGAAAAAGTATTACCTTCGAAACTCCAAACCATCCACAGCCATCACCTAATTAAGTAAGAGACAACCGGCTCCAGTGGTTGTTACCTTTCACCACTGCTGTCATTCACACTTTTACTATTAGATTTGCCTCATGATGCAGTCATTCACGCTTTGCACTGCCGCCATCCACAACTTTTAGATTTGCGCCATGCTGCTGCTATTTACACTTTGCTTTGTGAGTATATAAACCAATACTGATCCAGATTTCTCATTGCTGTTTTCTGATGATCGCTTAGTGCGTGAAACTCGGAGTAAAAACACTTTCTCTGTCCTCCTATTGTTTTATATCATACAATTGGCGAGTTTGGCGTATTGTATGCAAGGAAGAGACATGGTGGATAGCTGATAGGTGGAATTCTCTGCCTGTCTCGTGTCGTCAGGTTGAGCATCTATCCGTTTTTGTTTCGCTCTGTAAAGAGCACTGGCTTAGGGTTCCCTGTAACAAGACGGCAATGTCTGTAGGGCCTTCCCTATCAAAATAATAAATTCTACTACTACTACTACTACTATATGCCATTCGAACCGATATCAAAATTTTCTTTCATGAGAACCCTGCTTGAAAAATCGATGCACTTCCACTGGATATGTCTGCAAGCCCCTATTTGTGTGAAAGTCCCTATTTTGTGCATGACCCCCCTATTTGTGTGAAAGCCCCTATTTGTGTGAAAGCCCCTATTTGTGTGAAAGCCCCTATTTGTGTGAAAGCCCCTATTTGTGTGAAAGCCTCTATTTGTCTGTAAAGCGGGATTCACAGAAGCTTTTTTGCGATGCGACAGCCGCGAAACCGGGAAATCCCCAAATCGCAACCATCGCGGACCCCACGCAACTGCCGCAACAGGGCCATCGCGGAAGTTGAGCTTGGCTCAACTTTTGCGATGTGACAAGCAATTTGGCGTACGATGTTGGCCTTTTCTACAGCAAAGTTGTACAAAGGTTCAAGAGTTGCCTATAAATTTGTACAAGTTGTACCAAACCGCACGAATACCATGGTGACATACCCACCTGCATTGAACTTCGTGCCAAATCAGCAAGGCGTTGTCGCATCACTGACTTCTGTGAATGGTATTTCGCGAGTTCGCATCACACGCGTCCGTCGCAGATCACGTCGCATCGCGTGTCGCATTGCAAAAAAGCTTCTGTGAATCCCGCTTAAGTCCCTATTTGTGTACAAGTCCCTATTTTGTCTGCAAGTCCCTATTTGTGTACAAATCCCTATTTGTGTACAAGTCCCTATTTGTCTGCAAGTCCTTATTTGTGTACAAGTTCCTATTTGTGTACAAGTCCCTATTTGTGGACAAGTCCCTATTTGTGTACAAGTCCCTATTTGTGTACAAGTCCCTATTTGTGTACAAGTCCCTAATTGCTACAGCACTGCCGGGCGCCGAAGAACGGAGCGCCAAAGAACGGAGCACCGGAAAACAACCAGGCTAGAATTTCATCAAGCACTGCATACCAATATATACACGGTGACTCAACTGCGCATAGACTACAATAGATGAAATAAGAACGGTCTGGGCTAGGAGGCTGACCCCTTGGTTCTTCGGCGACCGACAGTACTGTATGTGTGAAGAGTATCCCGGCATTCCCGGCATTCCCGGCATTCCCGGCATTCCCGGCATTCCCGGCATTCCCGGCATTCCCGGCATTCCCGGCATTCCCGGCATTCCCGGCATTCCCGGCATTCCCGGCATTCCCGGCATTCCCGGCATTCCCGGCATTCCCGGCATTCCCGGCATTCCCGGCATTCCCGGCATTCCCGGCATTCCCGGCATTCCCGGCATTCCCGGCATTCCCGGCAAGGGCGTCGGACACGCTACGGTCACTACGGTATTGACCGTAGTAGCACTGTTTGCCCCGGATACCCTGTGAATCAATCAAATACACTGATCTGGGCTCTAAATTTCCAAAAATGTCGGCTCAGCAACCCCTCCCCCACGGGTAAATTGTACTTCAGATGGCTGACCGTACCACACTAAAATACCTTCCAACGTCCCTGTAATATCACTTGAGTTTTATATGTGAAGTGACATCAGACGCATCAGTAAGCCACTCCATACCAATCATAGTAGTAACATTTACAATATCATTAGCTAACCTCTATTAACCTCTATTAGCTAACCTCTTTTTGATAGAGGAATGGGACACATTGGAGATGCGTTGGAGCAAGGTACCAAGTCATTGAATGTCTGAATGGTCTATCAGTTTGGTGTCTAGTTGTTGCACTTCCTGACCAGGCGCGTGCGCCGGTGCCCTTCAAGGGTGGGGGCGTCCCCCGGGAAAATTTTCAAAAAATGAAGCAAAATCCTGCATTTTGAGTGAAAAAAAGGGGGGTTCCGGGCATCCAGGAACCCATACGGGGCACGCGCCTGCTGGCTGCATTTGTTCTAGTTGCAGTGCTAGACATAATGCATGATACCTTGTATCCATGTGTCCCTTTCCTCGTTACCTCAATTGATAGATTGTTCATGTTGGTGTGCGTGCTTGCCAGACCGAGTAGCAGCCTGTGCATGTACTGGCCTCAAGACAGGGGGAGACAGGGGGAGACAGAACTACCGTATGATGTACATGTACTCCCATTGCTTTCTGGCCATCAAATCTGCATCATCAACAGACGATCTACCACATGACCACCCCCCCCCCCCCCCTCTTCTCCTCCCACACGTGCACATGCAAAGGCACTAAGGTACGCTCTTGCCTTGGAGGACAAAGCTCTCCATGGCAAACCAGAAGCTGCAGGGGTCCGATAATTGATGGCATGGAGTCACGGCTGGGAGCCTCCCGGGGTACCCCGCTAGCACACATAGCCAGTAACTATGCACGCTGCTATACATGCTTATGTCTATGTGTTACTTGCAAATTTTTTGTTGTAATCATGCTCTTCAGGGGACATTTCCTTTGCTAGAATCATTCGTTCAAAAGGAGAATGGATACCTGGAGTTTCAGAATGATCACCGCCACAATAGCTCAACGGGCAATGCATTCTCGCGGCTGAGCAAGCTGACTCTTCAAGGCCACTTGGGAGTAACGTTTGGCGACACCCAGTGTGAGAGGTGCTCACTGCTGGAGTTCTACGTTCGGCTGCTCAACCAGAACAGGGCAAACCCGGTAGGTACTACCTGGCACTGTGCCCTTTTCACCATGGTGGTGTACAAGTGCACCATTCCATTGCATTGAGTCACGTTGTGTGAAGTGATTACATCCAGAGCACATTGCAACGGTCACGGCAATACAACATCACAAATTCATAGCTGCAGGCTACTAGAAGCGAATTCACTCAGCGTGACACTTCACGGTGCCTAGTCATCTCTGTCCATCTTGGTCCTTCATAAATCAACATGCAGCTTAGTTCTAGTCATTACATGCCACTATAATTACAGGGGTGTCGGAACCGGTGCGGCAGCTCCGGCCAAAACCGCACCAATAATTTCATCTTGTGACTTTTGAAGCAATGAAATATGGGCTATTTGGGCCCAGTTTCCCTAAAAAAATTCCCGGGGGAAATCCCCGGACCCCCACCTACTCATGCGGCCGCACCAATGTCGAATACCTTCCGACACCGCTGAACTATCTTGTCCTGGACTGTAAGGTGAGCGAGCGAGGACATATCCGTGGCAAAGGTAGAGATCACTCGGATACTGCTCACAAACACCGGCGCAGCTCTCCCCTTTCCTCCCCCAAGGATGTGCATCTTACGTGAGATGTGCTTCTTCGAAATGGATATTTCTTGATTTCATGAATGGACATGATTTCGCCACCGCTGGTCCACTGGCTCAAGGCCAAGCTGTGGGTTTCACTTCCCACTCAGATACATACCTTTCTTCCGATCTGATGTGCCCAATCTGCACCTGGATAATTCAATTCCAAGTCTTTCTGTAGCTCAGCAAGGTGTTTTAACATTAGGAATTATGTCCTTCTTCCCAGTCGTTGAAGCATATGGATAACAGTACTTGGGGTTCTTTGTCCTTCTCTCTCTCGTCCTCTTTCCTCCACTTTCCTTTTCACTCCTTCTCTCTCCTCCACTTTCCTTCTCTCTCCTTCTCTCTCCTTCTCTTTCCTCCTCTCTCTCTTTCTTTCTCTCTCTCCTTTTCTCTTTCTCACTCCTTCTCATTCCTTCTGTGTCCTTCTCCGGTCTACTGTTCTCCCTCCTTCTCTCTTGCCTTCTCCTTCCTGCTCCCCTTCATCTCTCCTTCTCTTTCCTTGTCTTTCTTTTCCTCTAGCGTCTGCATACAACCTTACTCTTCCCTCTTCCTCTGTGTCGGCTGTGGTTCATTCATCATTGATTTCATATCATAGCTAACAAGTGTACGCTGTGTGTGTGTGTGTGTGTGTGTGTGTGTGTGTGTGTGTGTGCGTGTGCGTGTGTGTGTGTGTGTGTATGTACTTGTGTGCATGTGTACGTACACGCATGGGTGTTCCTGCCAGATTCAATTTATTAAGTCGCCAGTGAAACCAGATATTGATGGATTGCAAAGCTTGGATCCACGCTTGTCATTGAATTTTTCAACAGATCGTTACGTTGCAGAGGGTGAGACCAAGCCAGTCTCCCCACCACTGTACATACTGGATGTGCGTGTCCTAGGTAAGTTAGCGACTCCGTACAAGACACGACGTATGCCAGTCGGGGTATTTTGTGTTAATCCCGATTCACCTTGGGTGTGATTGTGCCGAGTGGACCATGAACCCACGGTGTGTTAATCTATCCAACACTAGTAAGACGTGTGCCAGCATTGAATGCGGCAACATATGTTTCGAATACATGTACAACTCGTGTATATCCTTTCAAGTCTACTGATCCCTGATTGATTTGATTACACCTCACCCTTGAGAAAGAACGCAATGAAATACGTTCTGCCTGTATCAGTTTAAACTGACTTTGGGGAAAATTCTATGCTGCTGTGGATGTGGATGGCTCTCTACATTTGCCCTATCAGTGGTTTTCTTCTTCTGGCCTGCAGGGATAGCTTGCTCGCTGCTGACAACATGTGGGTGCAAAGTCTGCCGCACGCTACATGGCTGTGCTTGGTTTACAAACAGCACCCCCGGAGATCATGATTTTGATTGCAGCACCCAGGAGGACCGGGCCAATGAAGTAAATTTTCCAACAGGAGGAGTGTGCGGTGACTCGACCATTCCTCAGCGGCCAGTGACTGGCTCCAAGCACTCTCTTCATGAGGTCTTGAGTGCAGTGTACAAGTCGAAAAGCGTGAGAACATGCTGCCTGAATGATTGTAACGGCTTCACAGACTCGTGCGGTTCAGACCTAGTATGTCACTGTGTCTGGTACAGGGCTGGTAACTACTGTGAAAGCTGTAAGTGAACCGACTTGTGCTTAGTATTGTGTGATACATGTATCTGTGTGGAAGGCAACACTTACAGTGCAGACAGTATTGTGTGATACATGTACAGTCAACTTCGCTTATAACCACACTCGGCGGCGGGGCATCAAAAAGGTGTCCTTATTCGCGATGCCGAGTGTCGTTATACCCGAAGTCTCATTATATGTATTACAGTGGGATGGGACTTTGCTCTGGGCATGGAAATTCTGTCGTTATTCGCGAATTGTCGTTATACCCGCAGTCGCTATTAGCGAAGTTGACTGTATGTGTGTGGAAGGCAACAGTGCAGACAGCGACTACTACAGGTAGAAGTTACTGCAGTAGTTATCGTAGTACATAATACAGTTGCGCTCGGTGCAATCCGGACCAGCGGAGTGCATACATGTATTGTGTGGCGCCTTCAACTTGCACGGCCGTTGACGCCCTGGAAGTGGCGCGAATGCGGCTGGACGTACACAGTCATGTACAACGATGTAATGGGAACTGGTCCTGGGAGCCAGCTTTGCACTTTGGGTCAGAATTCAGTGAGCGCAACTGAAGGCACTGTCTGTAGTAATACTATGGAGAACTGATCACCTTGCACAACTATACAGATGGATTGATTCCAAAACCGCTTTGGCAACTCTTCTTTAATTGATCTGCCATGCATCGTATCGTGAACAGAATGGAGTACTGTCATGGCTTTTCTTAAAATTGGAAACCTCTGCTAGAAAAATACTACACGACCGAGACCTGTGGTGCTGCATAACAGTTACTACTTGATTTACTTCAGTCCTGCCGGAGGGACGGATGTGCTTGATAGAATGTACCGAAGTGCTTTCACCCAAAGCACTGATGAGCTTGGAACTGGTAACTTTCTATGGACGACTTCGGCCTGGGGTAGGAGCCCGAGCCGGGTGTTAAAATCAGGTCATGCGGATGTCACCATTAATAATGTGACACTGCCATCACAATATCCATGTGGTGTTTTTTTGTTACTACAGATTCTGACAATGTGTGGTACGCGGTGGGCTTCGGTGTCCTCGGCATACTGGCTCTTGCCTTGATACTCATCATCTCATTACGCCACTACCAGGGCAAGAAAAGAACCATGGCCAGTGTGTCCAAGTGGCAGACTGAAATGTGCACCCAGTGGATGCTTGACGCACAGCAGCTTATCAATGATGGCCAGGCGTTCCCTTCGGCCTTCCTGATCGACTTCCAAGAACTCCAGATCCTCGATAAGTGAGCAAGAATTGAGTGCTAATACCCGTGCTGCATGATGGCGCCATGATGCATGTTGTGTGTGCACTGTGCAGGAAAGTTGAACTAGTGTCACCAGGGACGTCGGAAGGTATTTTAGTGTGGTACGGTCTGCCCGATTTGAAGGACAATTTACAATTTACAATTTACTCGTGTGGGAGGGGTGGCTGAGCGGAACATTTTGGAAATTTAGATCCCAGATCAGTGTGTTTTATTGATTCACGGGGTACCTGGGGCAAAAAGTGGCATGGTCAATACCGTAGTGACCGTACCGTGTCCGACGCCCCTGGTCACTTGTACATGTGAATACAGTGTAGCTGGCGCCATTCACACTTATCCGCCAGATGAGTGTGCCGTGGTCTAGGCAATATAGGGATCCACGAATAGAGGCTAGCATATGTTTGGTGCCATAAGCTGGTGCAATTGTCATGTATTTGTTAGCTTTACCAGGCATGCTAGTAACTGCGTACACTCAGTGCACTAGTCACGCTGTATGAAGCCCATAGTGACCAATGGTGTCTTGCAGTGAGTCGACTTCTTCCAATTGCCAACCAGTGAATGTGTATTTCTCCATTTCAGAATCGGAGACGGTGGCTTTGGGGAGGTTTATGCTGGCAAGCTACGCGAGGTCACAGATGTTGCTGTTAAGCGGATCCTAGACTTTACAATGCAGGATACAGAAGACCTGGAAAGGTTTCGAAGTGAAGCGTCTTTGATGTGGTCAGTAGTCCTCTGAGTATGTGTGTTTCCGATTGATACGTACATCACAGTGTACTTGTTCACATCACAGTGTACTGTAAAACATGTAATTTTCGGTGTGACTTAAATTACGGTGATTTCGGTAGAGAAACCAGGCACCAAAATTTAAATTACACCTAAAAGGCACTAGAGTATGCACTGTATGTGAAGGGAATGCTGGTCACCTAATTCTACATTACACCTGAAACCTAGCAGGTCGGCCCTGGCACTGAAATTGTAATGCACCTAAAATTACATGTTTTACAGTACTTGTCTATTTACTGACGCACAATAAAACCGTGGGCAAGGGCTGGTAGATGTATTCGTTGAAGCTGGCATGTACTGGCGTGTGTTGGCATGTACTGGCATGTGTTGCACATGTCATGCAAAGTCACAGCATAGCATAGCTGTCGGATCAGTTTAGAAATTCAGTGGTCCTGCCACCATCACCACTGCCTCTCGGGAAGGTTGGACTTTAGTTAGACACTGTGTCCTAGCTCTGGATCTAACAAGTCTTCTCAAAACCACAAGAGCCTGCATCACCAGTGCCTACGGGTCCTGTCACAATCACCAGTACCTAAGGACCATGCCACCATCACCACTGCCTAAAGACCCTGTCCTATGTCAAATGATTTGCCAGAACACTTCCTGGCTAACATACGCATCACTTTCAGTCAAGGCAGTGGATATCTTCACGGTTGTCTTTGATGGCCTGCTTCTATGTATGGCCTCGCTTTGCTTGTTGATGTGCTGCTCAAACCATGGTGAGCTTGGCAGAAACCGAACAGTTGGCTACAGGTGTCTCCAGGATACTCATTGCCACCCTGGCCGACCGAGAGCATAGCATGGGCCGATCCGAAATCAAACAAAGTGCTATGCTACAAGACAGCAATTAACGCTATTTTTGGGAACAGTCAACGAAGAGCAAATCAGAATGGACCAAGCAAAAAAATTAGAAATGTTGCATTCTGCACGGGTCACGGGATCCCTGTGAACAGAGCAAAACATTCTTGCACATCGCACCCTAACTAAAACATCAGTTTCCAATTGTGTCTGAGGTCTGCTTGTGTTTGTCTTTGTCCTTGTTCTCATACTACTGGAGTACAGTAGTCTTCACCATCCCAATATAGTGCAACTAATGGGCATTGCCGTCGATGACCAAAACATCCACATCATCATGGAATACATGGCAAAGGGCTCTGTTAAAAGTCTACTTGAAGACCCTGATTTCAAGTTTGACTGGAAACTTCGGATCAATATGGTAAGTTGACATAGGCTTAGTATAGGCCTATTGCGCCAACAGCAGGGACTGGATTTGAAGACTCCGCTGCAGCTGGATTTATGGCTGAAGAACATGGTGGTAAAGCAGAGGCTGTTTCCGAAACGACTTAGCCAAACTACTATAGTATCATGATAGCTTGCATGCCGTCCTACCAGTAGGACCCTAGAAATCGCGCTGCAAAAGTGCTTTCGGTCGAGAATGTTTTTGAAACAATTGTTGAGATACATGTAGGTCTTTGTAGGGCAAAGTAATGGTGCAAAATGCAAGCCTATGTCCAGTGCATTGCATACATGCAATTTTATCAGTTGTCAAAATGGCCACACGTGTTCCTGTCGCAGCACTATTAACTCTGTCCAAAGTGAATTTTGACCATGGCACATCGATCGTGGTGAGGACCTAATGTCTTTCTTAGCCTTCCATGGCAGTGGAATGCAAAATACCATACTCCATTTCCATGGTTACCATGGACTGTTGCCATGGAATTTCGTAATATGCCTTGTCTGATCACGTCTAAAATTTGTGGACTCCTTCATTAGCCCCTTAGCTACAGTTTAGGGTCAAATTTTAGGTCAATGTTAGAACAGAGGCCGTGCAGCATGTCTGTGTATGGTGGTCCTACCGGTAGGACCGAGATCTATGCAAGCTATTATCAAGAGTACATAACCCCCCCCCAGAGTGTGCAACGCCTGATTCAGCTCTGCATAGGGTCGTGGTCGAGCGTATACTAGTCGGATCTTCTGATATCATGTGTACACTCCACACCAGCGCAAGGCCGGTCTCGAGGCAGGGCACCGTTATTTTTGATCCGAGAGTCCTCGCGACTCCCCAGGTACTGCTGTATCCTCTCCCCTCTCCCTCGTGGTCCCTGATCTCACTCCTCTCACTCATGTACTCTCTCTCCCTCTCTCTCTCTCTTTCTCTCTCTCTCTCTCTCTCTCTCTCTCCTCCCTCTCTCTCTCTCTCCCTCCCCCCCTCTCTCTCTCTCTCCCTCCCCCCCCTCTCTCTCTCTGTCCTCTCTCTCTCTCTCTCTCTCTCTCTCTCTCTCTCTCTCTCTCTCTCTCTCTCTCTCTCTCTCTCTCTCTCTCTCTCTCCCTCTCTCCCTCTCTCTCTCTCTCTCTCTCTCTCTCTCTCTCTCTCTCTCTCTCTCTCCTCTCTCTCTCTCTCTCTCTCCTCTCCTCTCTCTCTCTCTCGCCTCCCTCTCTTTCTCTCCTCTCTCTCTCCTCTCTCTCGCTCTCCCTCTCTCTCTCTCTCTCTTCTCTCTTCTTCTCTCTCTCCTTCTCTCTCCCTCCTCTCTCTCTCTCTCTCTCCTCTT